ACACACACACACACACACACACACACACACACACACACACACACACACACACACACACACAGCTGAGAAAAGAAACTTAAGAAACTTGCCCATTTGCACATCCCATCATTCCACTGAACATACAGGTAAGGCACACAATGGAACCACTAATATTTATGGAAATCTTTTTTAAGTCTCCAAAGTGAATAACAATGTCAATTTAGCCCAGATCTATTCACAAACTTGTATCAGTTTAACTACCAATATCATTTCAAACCATGTTAGTTAAACCACAATTGCATGTGTACGCACTTATCAGTTTCAAGTTTAATCTCCCTTACAGCACTTCAGCTTGATATTGTAATTTACAGGGGCTAATTAAACTCATTCAAGGGTATGGGCATATGAACAAGTCAGCACAATGAACAGTAAAGAGGAATGTACAGTGCCTCATCTGTGTGCAGGAAATCTGCATGCATGGCGACACCACAGCAATTATAAAATGAATTATCATCAGTTAAGCGAGTTATATGAAGTTAGATAGCAGTCAGCAAGATTTTGTAGAAGTGGGCTGGATCAACTCATCTTGGATCCAGTGTGGAGCAGTGAGGATCAATGCTTCTGAATCAGCTGCTGCCAGTGCCGTTGTGGCAGCTGCCCCTGGAGTAAAATGAGGCACATGGGCAGTTACTGGGGAGAAGCTGATCCACTGTGACTTCCCATTCAAAATTACTTCTGTAACAGGGCAGTCTGTCCCTTAAAGAGGGAAGTCAGCCATGTTGAGAGGGCTCAGCTGTGAGGCATTTGGATAGGCAAAGAGTATTCCGCTAGGAGTTTTAAAAAGCTCCCGGAAGTGGAAGAAGCAAGCTGTGAGTAGGGGCCAGGTTGCTGTTCTGGGACCAAAGCCAAACAATTCCCGTCTAGTGTATCTGACATATTCATTAATGCACTTTAGGTAATGCACATTAAATCTAGTACCTGCAGGCTTTTTTACATGTGCAAGCTCCACTGCACTGGGCGCTTTGAAAAGCACCCAGTACTGTGCCACGTGCAGTTGTGTAAATGGTGAAATGTAGGTCAGCATGAAGAAAACGGTGGCAGTGCGCTTTTGAACTAAAACACCTCAGAGGTGCTTTAATTCAAAAGCGCACCACTGCCATTTTCTGTACACTGATGCAGATTTCACCACTTATACAATGGCACAGTGCAGTGCTCATCAGCATGCATGCAGAGCAAACTCGATTAATTGAGTCTGCTCAAAGTGGCGGATCTCTGATGCGTCGCAGGACAGAAAGGCATGTGTATAAATGCCCTCCATTGTGACATACTAGAAAAATGTGCATTAGCCTGTTTTAAGCTAGGGACAGATATTCAAAAAGCCTGACCCTGAATTGATTCAATCTTTGCAGGTTAGTCTAACCTGGGTAGGCTGAACCAGTTTGTAAGCATACAGATATCCCGTTTGGACTGAAGAAATGCACACACGTGCCTGCATTGGCTCAGGCTAGAAGCCGGGGAACACTAGAGCAGCCCTCCCTTCCCTTCCACAGTGCTGAGCTGAGGGAGGGCATGACTAGGCCCCGGGAGGATGCTCTGATTAGGGAGGGGTTTAAACCCCCACCCTGCCTGCACCCTCCCAGGCTTTTCCCCTTCTTGCTGCTCAAGGTGTGGGAGTGTTGCCAAACCCCAGCCCCAGGCTAGCACTCTGAGGCAAAGGTGGGGAAGTGCAGTGCATACATTTGTTGATAATACTGAGCTTTTTAATCTTCCTCTCCCTATCTGCAAACCTGACAGGGCTGCAAACCATCAGTGGGCTGATAAAACCACAGGGTTTGAGTTGCTTGAGCAGAGAGGAAGCCAGGCAGATCCTGTGGTGCCTGCAGTCTCCCCCACAGTTCTGGCTAAGGAGGATAGAGGCAGGAGATTCTGGTTTAACTTAAACCAGGAAGGAAGCTGAGATAGACATTGCATAAACCGGTTTGATCCAAATCAGTTAAATCTGATACTACATTCAACCAGGTTTACCTACTGGCTGGGAAATGACCCTCTCAGCAGCACAGAAGTGGAAAGGGATCTCAGGGTCATAGTGGACTCCAACATGAACATAAGTCATCAGTGTGACAAAATCATCAGCAAAGCTAACCGCACTTTATCGTGCATCAGCAGATATGAGACAAAAAGAACCAAGGAGGTGATACTTCCCCTCTATGCGGCATTGGTTAGACAGCAGTTGGAGTACTGCGTCCAGTTTTGGGCGCCATACTTTAAGAATTATGTGGATAACCTCAAGAGGGTCCAGAGGAGGGCCACTTATATGGTTAAGGGTTTACAGGCCAAACCCTATTTGGAGAGACTAAGGGACCTGGACCACTTCAGCCTCTGCAAGAGAAGGCTGAGAGGTGATCTTGTGGCCGCCTACAAATTCATTAGGAGGGTGCAGCAAGGAATCGGAGATGCTCTGTTCATCAGGGCGCCTCTTGGGATAAAAAGGAACCATGGGCACAAACTGACAGAGAGCAGATTTAGGCTAGACATCAGGAAAAATTACTACACAGTAAGGGTGGCCAAAATTTGGAATGGG